AAAAAAAAAAAAAAAAAAAAAAAAAGGAACTGGACTGACGCTCCCCAGAATGGAAAAGGAGCCAGGACCATAAGGACCTGTTTTATTTATAAAAAAACAAAAGATATTCGCGCTGATCGTCGCCCCAGGTACACTGCTCTTGCTCTTCTCCTTGCCCTCGTTAACTGGCATGCCTTGAACAGTTCGTTACCATAATCCTCGCTGCAGATTGCCAACCGTCTATCTAACTCTATCATCAAAAACAAACGGCCTTCATCAAATTTTGGCCCTGATTCGGTGCGCATCGTGCCATGAATCCTCCCCCACGGCCAATGCGGCATAAGCGACAGGAACTTATAGGATATTGCTTGCTGCCAATTTTTGGTAATAATGGGCATTTAGTTAATTGCAAGAGCTCGTAAGATCGAACGTTTTCTCTCTCAACCTTTTTTTGTAGCAGAAGTCTTCACTGGATCTCCTGGCATAATGAATGTAATTACATGCATTGGTATTGTTACAGCTTTCTTAGGTTTGACTCTTTCTGAGTCTTTGAGACATCTTTTAAGCGCGCGAAATTGAAATTTGCTTTTCAATGTTTTCATGGCTATTTGTTGTATGGAGAGGGAATACCGTGTTCCCTCCAGAGAGAGAAAGAGAGCCAAGTGCGTCAACGTAACATGTTTGACAAATTGAGACCCATAAAATGACCCATAAAATTACCTTAAAAAGCTAGGCTACCAGCCGGGCCGCCCGGGTCACCCTATTTTCCTGGGCGGGCCCGGCCGTGCAAGGACCAGGGAAGGTCCCAGCCAAAAAAAAAAAAAAACGAAAACCGGAAAAATTGAAAAAATCCGAAAAACAACTATGTGATGCAGAAAAATAAACTGAACAACTTTTGCCTCAGGGTTACATCGAAATTCTTTACCAAATTAAAAAAAAAAAAAAAAATCAATTTTTATTTTTTATTTTTTTTAATCTTTTTGGCCCGGCCGGGCAAGTGGACCTGGGCCACTCTGGTAGCCTAGCTAAAAACTAGTAAAAAGTAATTTCAACTGTGTGTGACTAAAACAAAATTTCACATGTAACTAAATGGCAGTTTAGTGATTGGCTCTGTCTAGAAAATAGGACCTGTGATGACCCTGATGAGGCAGATATTCTGTTGTGTTTGAATAGCCTCCCCTACCTTAGACCCCTCTACCATATAGACAGGGCTCTGCTCATTGTTAACTTTGAGTTAGAGAATCGCCGGTCCCCATTTGCGGCAGTTAGGTGTGTGGTTCCAACTGTTTAAGTAACTTTGTGAGTACGATTTTTTTTCAGTCTTTGCATTTGTCTTTTCCGTCACTGGAAGCAATCCATGTCGCTGCCTCCAGGTCCCCCAACCATAGTGGGAGTAAGTGTCGAGCAAGTTCATTTTGTAAGGGACGCTGCACCCAATTTTCAGCAAATAATAAACTACTAGCTAAGTGCAGGCGGTGCAGCTACGCCCGCAGAAATAACAAATGCAGTGGGTGACCTCACACTGCATTTCGGATGGCTTGCCTCCAAGATGTTCGTCCGCAGAAACAACGACGACCTACCGGGGGGCACAAAACGACAGCCGCGCCAGAAATGAAAAAAGGAGGAAGGAAAAGGGAAAAAAAAAACAAAAAAAGGGGGGATATAAAATGACAGGCGCAAGAAATGAAAAAAGGAGAAGGGGGACACAAAACAACGGCCAAGAGGGAAAGAAAAAACAAAAAAACAGAAACCAAACATCGGATGGCTCGCCTCCAAGATGTTCGTCCGGCTCAACGCCAGCCGTGTGCCTGCCCCCGGGGCGCGTCCTCTCGTTTAATGGCACGCTGTGAACATTTCGGTACGCGCACCCCTCTGCAACACTCCCCCACCCTCGATCGCCTTTATCCGGCGCCCCTCATCAAAACTTCGACCCGAATCCGGCGTGCAGCGCGTCATGGACCTCCCCCCGCGGCCATGCAGACATAGCTGCTCGCTGCTCGCTGTTGCTTTTACAGAGGACGGAGACGTGAGGGTGGAAGATGAGAGCTAGGATGCTCACGAATAGGAGGAAGATGACAGATAGGATGATCCCCCTGAGGAGGGCTAACCCAATAGCTCTGTCTATTGGGTTAGATCGGAGAGTCGGAGACGGTGAAGTCCCTGCATCAGACTGTCGGACTTTGAAAAAAGAAAAAAAGAAGGGAATGAAACGAATAAAAAGAGGGCTAAGAACCAACGGGCCTAGCTCGGTTGGTACACCCATGAACTGTTGAAATATGAATCAGACCCGAGTTCGAATCCAGATGCAATCAGATGACAGAATAACATAATTCTGAATTACTACCTGGGGCCCGTCAGTTCAATGATGATATCTCAGGGAAAGGAAAAGAGGAGGAGGGGGGGGGGAGGGGGGGAGGGGGAAAGAGGGCTAACTGGGGCTTCACATAATCTAGAGGAATTTCTGGTCGCACATTGACCTACACTTGCATTCACGAACTTAACCTGCCACTCATCCGCCAGCGGCATCTAGCAAATGAGGGTAAAGCTCAGTAGGGGCATGTTCGCAATTGTGCACGACAGAGAATATCCTCTCTTCCTATGGATCGATATCATCGGACATAAGGAAGGAGGCAAAACGTGAAAGCATTGAAAGGAAAAATTCAGCTGGGCAAAGCTTTTATGTTCGACAATAACGACAAAGGGGGATGAACAGACTGGGTCGCTGATCCTGCTTCCAGACTCGGAGCCTACTCACACTGGGCCATGCCCAGACGTACCTGGCAGCAATTATGGCTGGACCTGGATGTATTTGACCGCAATTACGTCCAGAGGTCAGTCGAAAAAGTACTAGTGTGAGTATGCCCTTCAAGGGGCATCATTTATTCCAATCAGAAGAGGCCGTGAGAGACTACCGTCTTCACCCGAAAATAACACCCCGGCGTTACATTCAACTTACCAAAAACACATTAGATTGCCATTTTTACTCACTTTTTTTCAAATAGAATGCCCTTCGAATATAACGCCCAGGCGTTATATCATATAGAACTCCCGGGCGTTATATTTGAATGTTCCGTGGGCAGAGTGCCTTGTAGAGGTAGTATATACATGGGTTTTGAAGGGCGGGAAGTGGGGTATACATGGGTTTGAAAGGGGGTTGAAAGGGGGTTTGACTTCCAAGGGGGTATGTTTCTGTTTGATTTTTTGTTTTTAGTTTTTATTTCCGCAGTTTATAAGGAATTTTAAAGTGACCCGCAGCCAAAAGTTGGTCACATTGCAATTCCGGACAACACTTTTTTCTTAACAGAATTTTCTGATTTGTTTCTTTCCCGGAACCCGAAGTTGCCACCAATTTACTGAATAAAACGCCCGGGAGTTGTAAACGAATATAATGCCCGGCGGGCGTTATATTCCTATACAACGCCCGGGGGTAATTTTCGGGTGAAGACGGTTGCACTGTGGAGAAGGCAGAGAAAGGAAACTTTGGTGGAACTCCCGTCTCCCCCTGAACACAATGCACCCTCATCATGATGGTGTCGGGCAGGAAAGACAGCTTGTCATTTAACGATAAGGGTGCATTGAGTTCGGAGGAAGAGGGTAAGCATGCAGCCTTGTGCACTGGGTTTTATCCCTTGACCAATTGTGAGAGTTTCCGGCTTTGCTTTACTGTCATTGAACCACCAGTACTTCCCCGAAGTGTGGCGTGTTTACGGACGGAATGTATGCACCCACCACGTGAGGACAAATTCATTCATTACGAACCATCCGGCCACTGTAGCGACAGCTGGGAAAAGTACTGGTGCTTTAAAATATCTTATTGCACCTGTTCCAAGGAATGGAAAGATCTGGGTACGCATCCCCAACAAACAGCTGTCAATATTTGTCTGGTGGCATTCTCTACCACTGGGCTGAACCCGAGTAAGGTGCGGAAATGAAATGACGAAGAGATAAATGCAGGCAGGCTTCACTCCCTTCCAAATAGATGGAGCCTCAGCAGCTGAAGAGAGCAGACCTGAAAGCCCGGGGCCAACCCGGAGCAGCATGCTAACCAGAAATCCATGTTGTGAAAACAAAAAAAAGATTGCATGCAGTCAGTCAGCTTTGAGTGTCACTGACTAAGCTTCGGTAGCCAGCAAACAACTGTGGTACTGTGCCCCTGACAAATACCACGAGAGAGTATTCCTTGAACTTGTGCTGAAGCTACCCACAGAGAGAGAGAGAGAGAGAGAGAGAGAGAGAGAGAGAGAGAG